CCCTTGTCTGTAAAATGAGTCGACTAAATCCCTTCATTCCACTCGTAATACGAGCGGGAACGTCAGGAACGCTGGGAGGCGTCCCTCCATGTGTCTCGGGTCTGCACGACTTAGAGCAGAGTGCGGTCTGCCTCCGATCCCGAATCTCCTCAAGGCCATTTGTCCAGGACAGGCCCTCGGGAGACAGAGCTCCTCCCTCCAGAGCAGAGCGATGCCTGTTCCCTGGGGCCAGTGTAATCACAGCCCGTCTCGCTCTGAGGCAAGGTCAGCTCACTGCCTTTTGTAAAAGCCTCGGAGTCCCTGCGCTCCAGCTCCTGTGCTGCAAATGGCCCCGTGCCTTGGGCATCCATCTCCCGGGGTGTCCCGTGGGACTCAGGCTCGGGAATATCCCCGTGCGGGACTGCCCGTCCCTGTTGTCTCTGACCCAGGACCCCGTGCCAGCGCCCCGGATCTGGACTTCCCGGGGGCCTCAGGTCGGGGTGAAGCTCCGGCTCCGCGGCTGCCAGCGACACGGCGGTCCGTGCCCTCTGGAGGCCTTGCCGTGGCTCGGCTTGCTGTGCCGGTGGGGATTTTTGTGGCAGGTGCAGGCGGCGAATGGACCGCACACGGGCCGTAGCACTGTCCTCATGCCGACGAACTTCTACGGTCACGTAGACCTTTAGGGACTCAACGCTTTTTAGTCCCTGAGGAAAAAGGGAGAAATGAGAAATGTGTGCAGCCACACGCTTGTGCACACACACACACACACACACACACGCACACACGCTTCACGCTCTCCCCCGGTAAACGGCTGTCTCCGCGATGCCGTGGCTCCGGGTCCTCCCGCACTGCTTCAGGGCATCGTCGGTAGCCCTGGTAACTGAGCTGTGTGGGAGGAAATCCCTATAATTAGCACAAAGCAGCTCATCTTGCTCTGACGTCAGCCAGTTCCGTCCTCGTTCCGGGTGAAGAGGGACGACGGCCATCTGCGCCAAGACGCTCTACTCCGCACTTTCCCGATTCTTTTGGAATTATCTTCCTCACGTTGGATAACCCCAAGTCCTCATCCTTTCTGTGTAACCCTGTACTTCTGAAGGAGCTGTGAGTGTACGTAAAGGTCGCAAGAAGAGTACACAAGAGACCTTTTGTGCTCTGCACCAGAGACCCCGTTCAGGCGTGGCCCCAAGCGTGGACAGTAATGTCTTTGTTCAGGCGGACTCTGTCCTGGGTGGGGGCGGCACTGGCTCTCAGGCCGGTGGCACCCGTTCTGGGACGTTTCTGAAAGCCACGCACCAGTCCTCCAGCAGGCAGTCCCCCACTTCTCCCGCCAGGGTTTGTGGGTGCGGGTGCCCAGATGTCAGCTTTCCCCAGTGTAGACATTTCCCCTCGAGGCAGTAGGCGTTTGTGTGAGACTGGGAAGCCTGCGGCCACCTGTCCAGCCGCTGCCCCTGCGGGGCGCACCTGCCAGGGTTCCGCGGTGAGGAAGGGCTTCCTGCTCGCCCTCCTTCACTTGCCCTGTGTTCCTGTCGGTGCGGACCCGTGGGTTCCTGTTGGGTTTCCCAGGCTGCCGTCTGTTAGGATCGCGCTTGATGCACTAGTATCCCCAGATCTAACCAGGAGAGGCCCCTGAGTCAGGGCCTGAGCCCTTTGGCCATGGCCCTGTGGCTCCTGGAGTGCGTTCTCGCGCTGGTATAGTGGACTGTGCTCTTCCTGCCTCTTCGCCCGGGCCAGCCCTTTTCCCAAGGAGCTCGGTTCCCTTCTGTGGACAGCAGCGTCTGGAAGCTAAGACCCACACGGCAGGTGTGCGGCTGCCCCTCAGGAGGACAGAATGGGAACCCGAGGGGGCAGGGCACACTTGAGGTGGCTGGTCGGGGCCCTCGCCGCTGCCCTGGCCACTCCGGCCCCACCTGGGGTTTGCTGTCCTTGATGTGGGCCCTGAACACCCCGGCCTTCTGGCGAGAACAAAGGGCAGAGATGCCCGTGACCACAGCCACGGCCACTGACGAGCCTTCTGGGCCCTGCTTTGTGCTCTGCCCTAGCCAGTACTCGCTTCTCTCCCTGCGGTCTGCTCGCCACGTCCCATTCTCAAGGAGACAAGGGTGATCCATGTCAGCTCTCTGGCCAGGGCGCTCGTCCTCTGAATTGCTCCTGCCACATTCACGGTAAGGCGGGCGTGCAGGTGGCTCCCCTCTGGAGGCTGGGGCAGGTCTTCAAGGGGCAGACCCCCCAGGTACCTTTTCAGAAAGCAGATGCGGATCCAGGAGGGGTGGGTGTGGCCCAGGCTGGTTGGGGTGGGCGGAGGCACCTTATCCCCCCCAGCAGCCCGGCGTCTCTCTTCCCTTGGCAGCCGTGCGCACCCACGGCCAGCTGCGTCCTGTCCCCGTGTCTATGCTCTACTGTGGATCTGCCCTCATGGACGTAGGTCAGAAGCTGGCCTCAGACTGGGGATGGGAGCCCCCGGCCAGCGCAGGACGCAGCCGCAGGATGCGCCGTTTTCCAAGCACTCTCCGGTGTTGACCCAGCCGTTCGCATCGGGAGCCAACCTCACGCAGCCGCACAGGCTGGGGAGCCCCCCATGCCGCCGCCAGGATGAGTGGACTCGTCCTGCTCTCGTCCTGCTGGCGAAGGGCCTGCTGAGCGAAGCCCACAGAAGCAGAGCATGGACGGCCTCCTGTGGTTCTACTGCCACTTTGAGGGAAGCGGTTCCGTGTCTGAGGTGGGCGCTGACGGCTCATGAGCGACACGGCCTTCACAGACTCCGCGTGGCCAACTCTGCCTCCGTGTCCCATTGCTGGGAACCACGGTGATGACTTAGGGCAGAGAAATCCTCGTAGGACATGTGCTGGCACCTCTCTGGGGAAGAGGAGGGGGTGCCTGCCTGCCCGGTCCTGGGGTGATTCCAGCATCGGGCCAGGGGGTGTGGGGTGGCCTGGGGAGGTAGGGCTGCTGCGTGAGGCCACGCACAGCTGTGGTCCTGTAAGCCCTGCGCCCGGTGCCCCCGTGCCCCCCCGAGCCCTCTGATCCCCTGCGTGTCCGGTGCCCCCCACGCCCCCGCACCCCTCACGCCCCCTGCGCCCTCAAGCCCCCATGACGTCCGCATCCCCCGCGCCCCTCACGCCCCGTGCACCCCTGCGCCGAGGCCCTTAGTCCCCACTGCACTGAGTTCCGAGGCAGGACTCTGGGGAGCAATTCTGCTCCACGGGAGGCTGTGCAGTGAGACCCTCGCGGGAGGAGACGCCCGGCGTGTGGCCCACGGAGGAAAGGGCGTGTGAAGACACAGAAGCAGTGGAGGAAACGCGCCCAGGCCTCGGACCGGCTCCAGCCCAGCGGGGAGCTGTGTGCCTTGACTCAGAACCCCTTGCCCCCTGCATAGCCTTCCAGGCCCCAGACAGCACCACCTCCCCGAGTCACCCGAGCTCCTGTCCTTCGTCCCACTAGACAGCTGTCCCCACACTCCCTGTGCTGTCTCCTCGCAAACTCAAGTCCAGAGGGAGCCGCACCCCAATGTCCTGGGCTAGCGTGTCCCGTGGCACCCCCGTGTCCTGACGTAGCATCCCCGCCATGTCCCGCTAATCCAGCCCGGGTCCGTGCCCCCTGCAGACCTTCTGTCCCCTGAGCTGTCTGCTCTGCCCGCGGCGTTCCCCCCCCCCGCGTTGGTGGGGCTCACACTGCACCTCCAGCTGCAGGGTCCTTCTGCCTGGCAGCCTGATGACGGTGGCGACCCACGGTCCCGATCTACACTGAGTGGCATGGCTCTCCGTTCTGATGGGGAGTCCCTCCTGCGCCTCTCTTGCCCCTGGGACACCTCTGGGCTCTGCTTGTGTCTGAGGCTCCCAAAGCCCCTCCTCGTGGAGCTCAGCCTGGTGCCCACCTCGTGGGAAAGCGCTCGGGGAGAGTGCACGTCCCGAGGTTCCGCTCCAGTTCTGCCTTGTTTTATTTTGAAATATGTCTCTGAGTGTTGTCGTGCCAGTCGCTGTGTCCCTGCAGGATTAACCCTTGATTTACCATTGAAGGTGCGTCCTGTATATGTACCATTAGAAGAGACCGGCCAACTCCAAAAACACTATCGTAAGAATGTGACTCTCGGGGCGCATGGGTGGCTGCAACGGTGAAGCGTCTGCCTTCAGCGCAGGTTGTGATATGGGGGTCCTGGGACTGAGCCCCACATCGGGCTCCCTGCTCAGTGGGGAGTCTGCTGCTCCCCCTGCGTGTGCTCTCCCTTGCTCTCGGATAAGTAGATAAATAAATAAAATCTTTAAAAAAATGACTCTCTATGCATGATTTTCCTGATTTCTTGGTCGAAGCATTTGGGGGCTCAGAAGAGGGAAGGGCTGGCGCCTGGCGAGTAGGGCGGCTCCCCAGGCTGGGGGCTCCAGACAGTGGGCTCGTGTCCTCCCGCCACCATCCCAGCATGGGGGCCGCCCCCACTATGCTCACAGGTGCAGAAGTTCCCTCCCTGCTGCTGCAGAGACAGAAGGGAACCAGGACTTGTTAAAAGCAAGAGAAAACAAAGATTTTGGCTTCTCTTTTTTGAAACAAAATTGTTGTCACCCAAAACAACAACACAGAATTTCCCAAATCCCTCATGCTGTCCGTGGCTTTGCGTGGCATAGAGTAGTTTCCCCGAGTTTCTTTAGCTCACGTGAACAGGTGTTTCCTCTGGTGAAGACAATGTAATGCAAATACGCTTTAAAAGATTGTGTAAGAACAAAATGAAAAATCTTTTCCTGGTGACATAGCCAATCAGGGCCCTCACTGTGGCCTCTAGTCCACTCTCCCTTATTGATGCAAAAGCCACTGGGCACCAGCCCGCGCCCCGTCCCCGACGGCACAGCCCACACCCGTGTCACCCCTGAGATGCGACCTCTCATCTTCGTGTCGCTGGAGCCCGCGTTCTGCAGACCAGAACAAAGATAAAAGAAGACACCACACAAGGATCATTAAAAGTTTATTATTTTATTTCGATATCGACCGACGGTGTGTCGTTTCCACGAGGCCCCCACCATCACCGTGCTCGCTGTCTGGGGTGGCCGCACACAAAGATCCCTCGGCCGACAGTCAGCTCGAAGACGTAGAGCGTGTGTGTGTGTGTGTCATGAAATGTGGAGGTTTCATTTCTGAAATTTTGTTCCTTGTTCCCCCGTAACCCTCTCATCACTGAGGCTATGGGTTAATAGACATTACATTACGCCCACACCGGGCATCGGAATTAGGACGGGGTTACGTTGGTGTGCTGACTACTCCTCATCTTCGTTCTAAGGGAGGATGACGCCGGTGTGGCTCCTTGGAAGGCCTCTAAGACGTAGCTAAAATCAAACGGTGGGTCAGTGTGTTATGAGGGGAGCACAGGAAAGGTGAGCTCGAGTTAGAAAAGACACAATTTAGAGGAGCCCCCGTCTCTGCTCGCAGGGCCAGCCAGGCCCGGGCCCCACGACGTCCGGCCCCGCCACTTGGGACGCGGGCCCTCCGAAGCCCGTGGCCACGCGCGTCCGTGTCGGGATGCCAGCTGACGGAGGTTATCTGTCCACCGAGGGTTAGTATCTGCCGTGCGCACTGCCGTGAGGAGCACCGCCGGTCACCTCCCACAGTGACCAGGGTGACGCCACAAGGCCACCCGGAAAACTTCTCCAGTCCCACTCTGAGACAAGCGTCTCCCTGGACTCTCCTGCTGGGCTCGGGGGGAAACAGGCTGTTCGTAGAAGCCGCTCTGGCTCCCGCCGTGCCATCACCTAATTTCCAAGAAGATCCTGTTTCCCGTTGGGGCCGTGGCCCAGCCCAGCTCTGCCTCCTTGTCCCCTCGCAACCGCGCCTGAGACCCGCCAACCGGGTGTGGTGGGGAGCCGCCGCCTACGGGCGCCCTCCGCGCCCACCACATGGGACTCTCCCAGCTACCCGCCCGCACTGCACGTACTGAAAGCCCCTGTGCCGCTCCTGACTGCTCATCCTGGAGGGAGAGTGAGTGTGTGTTAGGAGGTGAGCCGGGGGCGGGGAGAGAAACCAAAGGAAACAAAGGAAGCTCGGATCAGCAGTCCTCACCGCCCCGCACGCATCCCTGTGTCCACAGTGGCGTCGCACGGCAGCACCTGCGAAGCCTGGGGAAGCTGAGTCAGCAAAGCCAGTCCGAGGGAGGAGGGTGAGCTCGGAGGTGCGTCCGTGCCCCGGCGCCGCCAGCGTCCAGGCCACGCTGGGCGGAGGGGGCTCCGGGCACGCGCTCTCTTCGGACACAAAGTCACCGCTGACCGTCTGTCTGCGTCTCCTCCGCTCGGCTGATGGCCAGAACCGCAGGGCGCGGAGTGCCTGGCCCACCGTGTGCGCAGCTCAACGGGCATTAGGCAGGGTGTTTGCTACACGTGGGGAGCGGATGTGGACGGTATTAAATTCGTAAGGTAGTTGTATTAAGAAGCTGAGGACAGGATTCGGGGACCCCAGGGGAGGGCTTCAGCGTCTCGCCATGGGGGATCCGGAACGACTGTCTCTTCCTCCCTGAGAAGAGGAAACACACAATTAGATGACGTGCGTGGGGCCAGGGCCTCCGCTCCCACGCCAGGATCCCACAGCGGGAACCCCACTCGCGGACCATCTCGCCTGGCTCTGAGGCTGGGGCTCTGGTTGCACGTGTCCCAGCACTCTGAGCGCGAACTCGCCCGGTGTGTCGGGACCCTCGGAGAAGCTCCCGGGCTGCCTGCCCAGGACCCAGAAAGCCAGCACCCACGTCACGTATGGGGGGCCGAGACCAAGAGGCCCCCGGAAGCAAGGTACCTGTGAAAGCACACGTCACCACATGCCACCTGTGCCCTGGACAGCACCCCAGTCGCAGCGTGGCCGCCACCCTGTGCAGTGAGCTGGGCGTCAGAAGCCTGGTGCCGGCGACGCCCCCTCCTGTGCCCGTGCACAGAGGGAGACCACAGCTCGGATCTGTCGGGTTTCCAGAAGACCCTTTACATTGTTCAACAACTGCTTTGTGGGGTGTTAGTTTCCTCGGTGAGAACATTTACGGGACTCCAGCCCCTGGAGTACCTGGCGAGCCCCCAGGAGCGGCGGGGCCGACGGCCCGGCTGGCTTTCCACAAGCCGGCCCTCAGTGCTGCCCTCCGGGGGAGCCCAGCGCAAGTCTGCACGAGCCTCCCCGCTTTCTGAGCCCCCCAAAATTCATCTGCGCGGCTCCCTGGCAAGTGCAGTCTCATTCTGAAAAGGGGCGGACCCCCTGCTTCCTAGAACAGAGGGCGTCCACCCGCCATCCTGTGCAGTACAGTCCCGTGAGACAGCATTTCACCTCCCGGGGCTCCGCCTGAGCGCAGGACAATGGTGGGCATCCGGTGTTATTTCTATGACTGTGCCTGCTCCTAGCAAGTCCCCACCATGGTGGAAGGAGACGCCAGCCCGGGAGGCGGGGTGCTTATTGTCTCTGTTTTCCAGTCCAAGGAGCCAGAGCACAGCCCCATTGAGTGATGCCCCATGGCCACGCGGCCAGCGGCGGAGTCAAGGTTCCACCCAGCAGCCCTGCTGGGCGGGTCTCATGCTCTCCTCCCTGCCAGGTTCTCCGCACATTCGAGCAGGTCGATGCCAGCAGCGGGTTGGCCCCGGGCTCAGCTGAGTGGACGGGCTGGACCACGAGCAGGAGGTCGGCCTGAGGCCGCGTCTGGAGTAGGAAGGAAGGGGACCCGCGGGAAGGCCGTGCGTTCCATCCCTGCCTTCCCTACCCCTGTGTGGGAAACTCTCAGCTGTGCATTTGCAAAGAAGAAACTGGTAATATTTTGATGCAGTTCCCTAATGATTCAGAGAAATGCAGGGTTTCCAAGCAGTTCCCAGCCCACGGGGTGGACCATCTGTGGCAAGGGCACCCCCTTGAGTACTGGGGAACCTCCGTCCACACTCACTGCCTTGGAGCCCTTCTCGCCTCTGGAGGGAGTTTTCAATCGACGATACCACGCGCGTGGGCTCACTCAGCCCTGCGACCGCGGCTGGCCAGTTCGTAGACATTCGTGTAGTAAAATCTCATGAAAGCCACAGTCACTGAATTTGATAAACTGAAGCTTCCCTTGAACCCCACGGAAGCTTTACAATTTCTAAACTACTTTGTACAAACAGACATGTAGGAAAACACGGAACCGAGTGAAAACGAATGGACCTCACAGGCCTGTGTCTGTCGCCCACGATGAACATGCTGGACAGGGACGCGGCTGCTCCGCTCAACCCACAAGCTTCTCGCATAGGCGGGGCAAGATCAGCACACATGACCCCATGATTACTGGGGTCACAGACCCAACTATTCCACCATAAATGGTAAGACCGTGATGTGTTAGGGGGCTGATTAGAAAGCGCCCTCATGCAGATTAGAGATCTCCTGTCAAGGGTGACTGGGGCTGAGGGGCCTCGTGCGTGGCTGCCTGAGGCTGAGCCCGAACTGGGGGAGACCAGAAGCCTGCGGAAGGCACAGGTCCTGCCTTCCGGCGGCCGGATCTCCAGCATGATACCACCAAGCTGCACACAGCAGAGCCTTTTAGGGTTAAATCAGGTTGTCTACTGTGACCCCAGCGGGTGGTCTGAGGACAGGGGGAGCCGAGGGGATGCTCCTGTTCTCATCTGTAACCCAGAACCCCTAGACGTGCAATTTCCATGGAAACGCACAGCTCCCCCAGGATGTGCCCGCCGGCCTGAAGACAAGTGGTGATGAAGCTTTCAAAGGGGCGGTAAGAATCCACGACGTGTCTATCTGCGGGGCTGGGACACCAGCCGGCGGACAGGGTGTGCGGCTGTGCCCACGCTAACATCCCCTCCTACTGGGGTGTCTCGTCTTTCTCCGCCTGCAGCGATGTCAAACCCTCCCCCAGGAAGGACAAACAGGCAATTCCTCATGAGTTACCTTCTCCGGACAGGGGGCTGTGGGCACCCTGGGGCCTTATGCCTTCGCTGATGCCTTTCCTGCCCTAACACAGGAACCCTGCCCTGTACGTGCTGGCGTCTGTCTCCCGATGGCGCTTCTTGAGGGCGGAGAGGGAGCCGGTCCTGGGCACCTTGCAGGGAACCGTGGTTGTTGTTAGGTACTGGCTCTCTGGCCACGAGGCACGGAAGCCTGCGGCCTCGTGTGGATTCACGGGAAGGGGAAACAGCCACTCGGTCGTTACTCTAACGAGGAAGTATGTGGGAACGTGACTCAGACAGCGGTGCCCGTGGCAGTCCGCCTGTGGGCGCCCCGTCCAGTGATGCACGGCACTCCCTCGTGCCTCAAGTCAGCCTGGAGACTGTCCTGGGCTGTCGGAAGGTGCAATGTGTCCCCATGGGGCGTGGAGCAACCCTGGCCCCTGCCAGCTGTGACCCCGAGGTGTGGGCTCTTGCAAGGACCTCGGGTCCACCGCCAAGACCCCATATGAGGGCTGCAGAAACCCCAGCCCCACCTAGGCTGGTCTCTGCCAGCGACTCACGGCTAGCCTTTCAGCGTGAACACCATGTTGTCAGGCGTCAGGGGACCCGAGTGATGCAGCCCTCTGGGGGTCCCAGGGCCTTCTGTGTGGGGGACCCCTTCCCTGTCTGACCTGTCTCCTCCGGGGCCTCTGCTTCCTCCAGTCTGGGCTTGCCCCCAGCTGTGTGACCGGTTCCTCGACCCTGGCCCACGAGGCCTTATCTGGCCCCTCCCCAGCACTGTGGGCAGCCATCCAGGGGACCCTGCCTTGTCCCGGGGCACTCATTCCAACCACGTTCTGTCCCCCACCACGAGAACATGCTCTCTACATGCCCCCCCCCGCCAAAGAGCACGCGGTGAGGCACGGCAAGCACCCGTCCGCGGAGTGAGCCTGACCGCAGACGGACAGGGCGCAGGGGCAGCCACAGGGCCCTGACCGTGAGCACCGCCAGCCTGGGCTCTCAGCTACCCAACGTGCCCCTATGACCATCTGAGGCCTCTGCCCCCGGGGACGGCGGCTGCTTGTGGGCGGCCCCGTGCCCGAGGCTGTCGGGCATCCGGGGTCCAGGCAGTTACAGCCCCTGAGGATGGCGTCCCGCAGGCCCTACGCCGGAGCTGGGGGGGAGGCCTGGGATCCCTGTGGGCTCCCTGGCCTGCGAGTGTACAGGAATGAACGGAGGCCAGTGGGCCCCTCCGCATACCGCAAAGCCAACCTTGGGCTCGACCAGAGCCGAGATGGGCGGCTGTGGGGCTCTCTGAGGCTCTGCTGCACTTCAGGACTGTCCGAGTCCAGCCAGAAGCCAGAGGGCCCACCCCACCTGCCGTCCTCACGCTGCCTTCTCACGCCCCGTCCAGGTGCCCGGGCCCTGCCAAGCTCACACCTGACCATGGCCCCGGGGCCAGTGACCACAGCGTCCATATCAGGCAGCCCCCGTGGGTTCCCGGGACCTCTGGCCGCCTGATCACTGACCTCCCCCGGCCCCTCGGCTCCTGCTCCCTTTCTCGGGGGTCACAGATCTGAGGCCTCGGCACCAAGGGCTTCCAGACAAGGTCAGCGCCCACAGCCACCCCTGCTTCCGCAGGGCGTGGTGGAGCCTCGCGTGGGACCCCTCATGTATCCTCGAGGTCCCCAAGGGAGCCTGGGCCACCCCTGCAGTCACGTCCTGGTCCCTGGGCCAGCCTAGCAGGTGAACCGCAGAGGAACAGTGGGTAAGGTCTGGGCCCCGCCTCTGCCCCACCCCCCGCCCACCCCCGCCCCGCCCCTGGTCCCGCCCCTCGTCCACCCGCCGCGCACCCCTGACCATCAGAAGGGTCACAAGGGTTACGTTACCAGCTTGAAGATTTTGGAGAGCGTGCCCTGGGCGTCATGGGCCCCCTTGAGCCCCTTGTGAGCTGGAGCTCGGCGTCCGTAGCCAAATCCTGGCTTCTGCCCCTCGCCTCCCTGCAAGAGACCAGAGAGCCCTCAGGGCGGCCGTGCGGGGGACGGGCTGCGGGGCGGGGACGGGCCCGCTCAGTCGAGGCCCAGGGCCGCTCCGTGCTGCCACGTCGGCCCAGCCCCGGCTGCCGCGCGTTGGGAGATGGGCGCCCAAACGCTCTCAGAGAAAGATCGGAGCCGGACCGCTCCACCGTGTGGCTCTCAAGAGCGGCAAGGTCGAGCTAACCCCGGTGAACGGCCTTGGCTCCCCTGCCCGCAGGAAGGGCGCACCCGGCCAGCTCTCGGCCCCAGGGGGCACTTTCCTGGGCCTGAAGCAGCGGGAGGCCAGGCGCCAGAGCTGGGGGGCCCTGCCTGCTTCTCCGGGTGAGCTCGTCATGTCCGGCTCCTCCTGCAGCGGTCTGCAGGGTCCGGAGCCTCGGCCTTAGCACAATTTACTTTTCTAAAGCGGAAGGAGAAGCTTCAGATTCTCTGGCCCAGATGAGCTCTCCCCAGGATGACCCGGCACCAGCTCCCCGGGCCATGGCTTCGGTGCCCTGAGAGCGGATGTGTGCACCCCCTTGGGGGACCGGGATCTGGTACGGTCGTGAAGGAGGGAAGGGGGCAGTTCCGGCCAGCAAGCCGTGTCCCTGCCACCGTACACCAGGGCACAGCCGCAGGCACCCCGCAGCCTGGATGAAGCCCTGGCTCTCCACTCCCTCGCCGTGCGACCTCGGGCAAGTGTGAAAGCCACCCTGAGCCTCAGTTTCCTCATCTATAAAATGGGGTTAGGGGTGACTGGGAGGGTTCTGCAAGGTTACGGATGTGCTGCCCTGCCAACAGAGCCTGTAAGCTCGGGCACGTGCTCGCCGTTGTTTCGGGAGAGGCCGTGCCCGGCCTCCCGGTGCCAGCAGCCCCCGTGCGCTCGGGGAAGGAAGAAATTCCCCGCGTGGCACAGAGCAGGGCTAGTGATTGCTGACATGTCAGGATGTCCGCATCCCAGACTCGTCTACTTTCAGAGCTATTTTACTTTCAAATGGGATCTTCCCCCACGGACACAAGAAAGGAGTTGGGGGGCTTGGGAGGTGCTGACACAGGGAGGTTAGTGTTCGCAGAATGGGGATCCCCAGGCTCGTGCACCATGTCACGCGGGTGCCAAGCAGGCTGGGGGTTCTCAGATAAGGTTGCTGCCTGCCCCACGGCTCTGTCTTCACAGACAGGCTCTGGGAGTTCAGGTTCTTCGGCAGGACACGGGGGATCGCTCGGGTCTGCGCCTGACAATCTAGTCAACGAAATAAACCTGGTGGCGCCCCGGATCCCTCTGCCTCGCCGAGGGTCCCTGCAGCATGCAGACGGGTCCGGGCTGGAGGGAACGGGGATCCGTGCGGGTCCCCCGTATCCTAAAGGTGGTGGAGGCAAGTGGAGGGCGGGCTGCCCTGGGGTCCAGAGGTTCCTGTGGACGCGCTCACTCCGGGACGTCCCACGGAGGGACAGGCCACGGCCAAGCATGCAGGTGCCACATGCAGACACACGACGCGGCAGGAAACCACGCCTCACACACCCGTGTCACATTCTCTGTCTCGCTTGCTTTTCTCCAACTAGGAACTTCTGAGAACAAAACTCAAGGGTGGGTTTCCAGATTAAATGATCTGCTTGACTTTTCGTCCTTTCCAATTCTTGGTTGCTTCTATCTTTAGACAACCTGGAATTTACCAAGAAATGTTTGATATAGTTTAGAAGAAGCACGGGCGACTTCCACACCCTCCAAGCAGGAAGGCCGTCCTGTAGCTCGAGAAAATGGACCCACGAGCAGATGAATGAGCTGGATTTGCTTTGGAAAAAAGAGAAACTGAATAAAGATTAGTAGGCTCCAAAACGGGACGCAGAGGGGAGCAAAGGTCTTTCCGGTTAGCTGCTGGGTGAAGCGGGTTCCGAGTGCCCTGAGGGGGGAAGGGCCTCCTCCCTGGCCCCCACACTTTCTCCAGGACGGCTGACTCCACATCCTGCCCAAGCGTCCAGGCCTAGAAAGTCAGGAGGCAGACCAGGGGGTCACCAAAACAAGAGCTCCTTCCACAGTTCCTCTTGGTCTCCTACTGGCACAGATGGTCAGACGTCCGTCACGGCAAGGCCCAGCCCACCGGCTGCCTACACGCTCCGCCCCTTTTTGCAAAGTCGTTCACATCGTTCAGAAAAGGCTCAAATACATGTGCATAAAGCGTTCCAGCAAATTCCATGTAAGAACATGCTGGGGCCATGCATGAGCCTTACGGAACCCCCTAACGTGCTCGGCGGGCCTCCCCATCCTGCGCACCCCCCACTGTTCTCGCTTCCCTCCTTTCTCTTTCTTTCAAACTTTGTTCATCCGTGTGTGTGATGCCCATTAACTGAGCCCCACGGATGTGCCCGTCTTGCACTAGGGACTCGGGCTGGGTGTCCAGCGCACATGAGGTCCTGGCCTATAGGTCGTGGTTGTTCTTCCATTTTATCCCGCAAACGGCAGCCTGAGCCAAGTAAGAGCCGCATCTGGCATTTACTCCTAACCAACGTCTACAGGTTTGGTTAGCACACGCGATAGGCGTTTTCAGCCGGCTTAGACACCACCGCAGGTCACCGGTGTCTAGAAAGTAAGCCGGCCGGCCTTTAAAATCGTGGTGGGCACTTGGTTCCCGGTGTTCCTCAGACGACGTTCCTGGATGCTGAGAGCTACACTGTGGTTATTGCTACGCCTGGTCTCATGGCTTCATGAGACCATGTGACAGGGGGTGGCATCGCCAAGGGTCAGCCTGGGGGCTGGGCTGGGGTCTGGACAGCCCGCCGGGCGCAGGCCTCCCTGGGCCTGCCCCATGGGAACCAGTATCCGCCCCCTTGTGCTGGAAGGAGGTCAAGAACTTTCTCAGGCATGGAGCCACCTGGTCTGGCGTGGAAGCAGAGACCTGTGCCCCGCTGCGGGGTCGGCGGCGGGGGCCCTGGATTCCCCTCAGGAGGAGAAGGTGGTCCTCGATGGCGTGGGCCCTGGGCCTGATGAGGAAGAAGGGGAGCCTCGCAGGGTGGGACGCAGATGCCAGGCAGCTGTGAGGAGCAGAAGGGAGAGGGAGCCGCGCGGACATGCCGTGTCACCTACCCAGCTAAATCTGCTGAGAGACAGTCCTCGCCCCTGTGGGAGAGAGAGAGACAGTGACATTGTCATTGAGGCAGGGAGAGAGAAAGTCTTTTACGAAGCGAGCAGGTCAGGATGCTGCTGAGCGCGAGCAGTGCGGACACCCGCCGGGTCCCGGGGCGGGGACGGCTCAGGGCGGATTCGGGGCGAGGGCGGAGAGGGGAGAGCGAGCTGGGAGTTGGCCCCACTCTCCGCTCGGTTTTCCGCAGCCTGTGCTACTCGGGGAAGTCAGGCAGCCGTGAGGCCCGGCCTCTTTTTGGTACATTTAGGGATTTCAGGGAAGGTCTCCAGGCCGAGTGACAATTAAGGACCGTGTTCCAAGGTCTTACCTTTCCTTGTGACGGAGGAGGTGTGCGTGGTGTCACCTACAAAGATACACAGAGGCCAGTGAGCGGGGGCGGGCACTTCCCTCCCCCACGGAGCCTCCTGCCCTCACCTGCCAGCTCTCGACCAGCCCGGGGTGGCCCGGAGACCGGGGGCCCCGACAGTCATCCCTCCCAGCCCGCCTCCCTGTTCTGTCCTCGTTCACGGAGACTGTAGGACCTGGGACGCCAAGGCCAGGCAGTTTGCAGAACACTCAGAAAGTGTTCAGACGAGGGCAGGAGGCTCTGTGAGCAGGACCGGTCCATCCCGCTGAGGTACCCGCACGCGCGTGCTGCCCCCGGGGGTGACGGTGACCCTCCCTTTGCTAAGGTCCTTTCTTGGGGTTGGAGGAAAAGCGTTGCCCGTACTCAGGAGTGTTCTTGGGCCTGGGGCTCACTTGTCAAACACCCACTTGTCAACGTGCAAAACACCCTCTTAAAATGTCTGTGGCACAAAACGTTTAGGATTGGAAGCGTGTGGTTTTGATTTTGTTTTTCAGTCTTTATTTTTGAGAGCAGTCTTAGGTTTCTAGAAAGAATGCACAGAAATCAGAGCGTTGCCACGGCTGCCCTCTTGTCCTGCACACTGTCCCCGTCTGTTACCACCTTGCACGCGTGCGGTTCGTGCATTACAAGCAGGAACCACGGCGGACGCACTTCCATTAAGCGAGTCAGAGTGCACAGCGAGGGTGTTCGTTCAGTGGGTTTGCTCCCGTGCGTGAGGTCAGGTGTCTGCCACAGCCGTATCACACACAGTAGGTCCACTGCCCCATCTGTGCTCCCCCGTCCACCTCCCTGTCCACAAACCCTGACAACCGCTCCTCTTCACATCTTGTTAATCTTTCTGTCTCCAGAGTTTTGCCAAGCCTGCGTTTTTAAAGTGCGTGTCTCATAGTACTTTAGTCTCAAAAGGAGTGAGTTCTTCACTAGAACACAAAATTCAGTAAGTGGCAGATGGAGTCCAGACCTTGTGACCAGGTTCTAGGGCTGAGCTCCCATGGCCAACCTCACCCTGAGGAGGAGGAGGCATCATGGGGAATATACTCACATTCCTTGTGGGAACAGACTCGGGCCCTCATGGATTAGAGCTCGGGGACATCTGGGGATAGACTCAGGTCTATTGTGGATTAGAGTTTAGGGTAATCTAGGGATATACTTGGGCCCCTCATAGATTATAGTTCAGAGTCATTTGGGGATATACTCTAATTCCATGGATTAGAGCTCAGGGTCATCTGGGGATAGACTCAGTCCCCCATGGATTGGAGTGCAGGGTCACCTGGATATACTCCGGTCTATTGTGAATTAGAGCTCAGTGTCCTCTGGGGATAGACTTAGGCCCCCATGGATTAGAGCTCAAGGTCATCTGGGGATATACTTTCGGGGAGCCTGCTTCCTCCTCTCTCTCTGCCTGCCTCTCTGCCTACTTGTGATCTCTGAGTGTCAAATAAATAAATAAAATCTTTAAAAAAAATAATAAAACGAGGCAGAGTAAGAATTGAAGACATGAGTCTTCAATGGGGCAGTGGCTCAGTCAGCAAAGCATCTGCCTTTGGCTTAGGTCATGATCCCAAGGTCCTGGGATCTAGTCCCGAATGGGGCTTCATGCCCTGGGGGAGCCTGCTTCTCCCTCTCCCTCTGTTGCTCCCCCTGCTTGTGCTCTCTCTCTCCCTCTCTGTCAAATAAATAAAGTGTTGGGGAAAAAAGAGTCCTTTTTGGATCTTGATTGGTGAAATAAACATGAGACAACTGGGAGTATTTTAATATAGACTAGATATTAAATACATTAGATTACTGATATTTTTCTTAGCTATAGTAATGATATCATGGATATGTAAGGAAAGACATGTATTCTTAGAGAGCTATGCTGAAGTAGTTATATGTACACTGTATCAGTGCAGTTAGGGGTAATACGTTGTGATGTCTACAGCTTATTTCAAAAAGCTTGGCAAAAACAGAATTACAAGAAATGAAAACTGCACACACAGAAAAACAAAAGACAATAGAAAAATAAATAGATGGGGCGCCTGGGTGGCTCAGTGGGTTAAGCCTCTGCGTTTGGCTCGGGTCATGATCTCAGGTCATGATCCTGCTTCGGGCTCAGTGCTCAGCGGGGAGCCTGCTTCCCCCTCTCTCTCCGCCTGCCTCTCTGCCTCCTTGTGATCTCTCTCTCTGTGTCAAATAAACAAAATCTTTTTAAAAAAGACAAATAAATTTATAAAGCAAATATGGCAAAAAATATTAAGACTGTTGAATCTAGTGTTCAATATATAGCAGTTCATTATACTATTTTTTCAACTATTTTCATGCTTGATAATTTTGTCATTAAAAAGTGGAAAAGTTTACCATAGATTTGAAAAAGAACGAAATTATAAAAGATAAATAAAACATAACTGAATTATCAAACTCAATGGGTAGGTTTAACTTAAGTCATGGCAGAAGATAAAATTGGTGAATTGCAAAATAAATCTTTAAAAAATTATCCAAGATAAAATACAGAGAAAATATGAAAGAAAAGTTAAGAAAAATGGAGTCTAAAATAAGCAGGTCTCTCATAAATCTGTCTGGAATTCCAAGAGAAAGAGAAAGAGAAAGAATAAGGCTAAGGCCGCCTTTGTAGCTACAGTCCCTGAGAATTCCTACTGAATCCCTGAGTGTGTAAATGGAAGAATCCACACCGGCACCCCGTGACCGGTCTGCAAGTCAGTGACGGCGACGGCCGAGAGAAGGTCACAGAAGCTTCCAGTGAGGAAAAATGACCTGCAAAGGAAAAGACTGAGAACCGACGCGTCATCACTTGCAACAGAAACTAATCTAAAAGTGGAATATTTTCAGTGGATTGAAAGAAAACAAGTGTTAACCTAGAATTATTTTACCAGAAAAAGCATCTTTTAAGAATGAGGGCAAAATAAGGACATATTCAGGTACACAAAAAATGACAGAATGTTTGCTGCTAGTCCTGTTCTCTCAGTGAAACTGTAAAGAGTGTATGTGAGACAGAAAGAGAGATAGGAGGTGAAGTCTGGGGACATAAAGAGTGTAGAGGACAAGAAAAATCAAAATATAAGTACACTAGAATATGTAAGTGTATTTACACAAATTAGACTAAATAAAACAATAGTACCTTTCGCAGTTTAAAGTAGAATTAAAACACCAAACAATAGTTTATAAATTAGGAGAAGGGAAAAGACGTTAACCTTCGACTTTTGTAAGTATCATCTTGAAGTTTCTTCATTACTCTTCATGGAATGAGTACATCACTTTCAAACTAGCAACGGGGAAAAAGGAGAACGGGGGGGAAACGGTCAGTCCAAAAAAGGGAAAGAAAGTGGAGAAAAGTAAACAGCTGACATGGGACAAATTGAAAGCAAAAATTAAGAAATACTTTTCAACCTGTATTTAAAAAAAAAGACCAATACCAGAAGGCAAGTGCAACACGCAGCATATTCCTAAAAACAAACAAACAAACCCCCAAAAAACAACTGGACATAACCCGGAAGTCTGTCGACAACGGACCCGACGCGCGCAGTCTCACAAGGAAACGCTCTACAACAGTACAAGTGCACGGCCACAGGCACCAGCATCCGTGAATGTCACAAACACGCGTGCCGCAAAGATGCCAGGCACGGAAGAACTCAGAAAACTCTGACAAAGCTGAAAACTGACCAAGACTTCATTTATCCAAAGACATGTAAAAAGCCCGCGCAGCCATAAAGGCAAGGGGAGGACTGTCATGCTGTCGGAAGAGCAGACGCCTCTAGGGAGAGGACGCCCTAAGGGAGACGCTCAAATGCGTCTTCGGGGGAGTTGGCCTGTCCCCTAGCTGTGCCTTGTGTGCTGGTTCTGGGGGGCCTATGTTTTTGTCCCCCTTTTTATGTCTGCTTTAGGAATCAGTTTAAAAATGAGCTGGAAGAAAAGAGCAGCCCTCCGAGGGACCTCTGAGACACCGAAGAGCGTGAGTCCAGAAACGGATGTGCGCAAGCTGCCAAGCCCGAGTCATGGAGACAGAGAATTTGGACTGACCAGTGAGGAAGGAGATTAAGACAGTAATAAAAAACCTCCCACCAAAGAGAAGACCAGTAGCAGACGGTTTCACCAGTGAGTTCTACTAAACATTAAAGAATAACATGAATCCTTCTTAAACTGTTCCAAAAACCTGAGGAGGGGAAACACTCTTGAACTCATTCTATGAGGCCAGGAGTATCCTGATACCAAAGCCAGGTAAGGATACGAGAAAAAAAAAAACCGAAACTATAGGTCAGTATTCCTGATGAAGGAATATACGCAGACATTTTCAATAAAATACTAGCAAACCGAATGCAACAGCACATTAAAAGAACGTACACCACAATCAAGTGTAACTTATCCTTGGAAAGCAATGTAACTTAATGTGATACATTAATAGAACAAAACATACGTGTTCAATAGATGCAGCAAAAAACATTTGATAAAATTCAACATCCTTTCATGATAAAAGCTCCCAACAAATTGGGTACATAAAGAAGGCATCTTAACAAAATAAAGGCACTCTATGATCAACCCACAGCGAACATCATACTCAACGGTGAGGTGTTCAGAGCTTTCTAAGCTCAGGAAAAAGACAAGGGTGTCCCCTCGGCCTACTCCTATTCAGTGTCGTACTAGAAGTCCTAACCAGAGCAATGAGGCAGGAAATAGAAACAGAAGGCATCCAAGTCATAAGCGAAGAAGTAAAACCTTCTGTTTACAGATGATACGTGTATGGATAGTAAAAAAAAGAAACAATCTTATAAAACGACATCGGAATACAGCTGTTTTCTGTGGACAAGTGAGAATCTTGTAACTAATCACATCTACTTCTACCTGGAATTGAATTTCCTATTCACTTTTTTTTTTTTTTTTAACTACATAGGACTTCCTAGCTTAGGTACTTATTCCCTTGGATTTTCTAATTTCTTCCTTCATCCTGATTTCCTCATCTATGTTTTACTGATATAAATTGCTTCAAATCATTTT